AATGAGCAATAAAAACCGGCTACGCCATGATCTACCAACCATTTTGTCTTGGTTTACAGGGAGAGAGACATATATATACAGAGAGAATCTGAGATAAAGAGAGCTCAAAGTTGGCCAAAAACTATTTCGCTTCAAAACGCTGAATTTCTGAATGGCAGCCAGGGCGAATTCATATCTCAGAGATACATTCGCCGCATGGCAAGGCGAATATCTTGAGGTGAGTTTCGCTGGCTCTCTGTCTCTACTTTTTCTCTCAATCTCTTGGGGGTTTCTCTCTCTCTCCCAGAGAGAAAGAACGAGATCAGTGTGCGCTGCTGGCATTTATGGAATGTGAGCGCTCAAAAATGCGTTAAAGGTGTTTATAAAATTAAAATTGTGCAAAACAAGTTGCAGAGACAGAGAGCGAGAGCGGATAAAGAGTGTCTAGAGGAGAATCGGAGAAACTGTGAGAGAGTGAGACCTCTTCTAGAGATTCGCCGCTTTAAAGGGCATCTCGCGGTGTTTAGAAAAAAGTGAATTTGAGCCGAGAAGAGACAAAGAAAATTGGTGCACACCGAACGCCGCGTATACGCAATCAAGGAAAGAGGTGGAAAACTGAAGGAAAACGGGGGGCTAGGGTTGGGGAAAACGCAAGGGGAGATTGAGGGGGAAACCTGCACCCTCCGCCTGAACTGAAACCAGTTCAAAAAGTGCGCTCTGTGTGCGTGTGTGTGCGAGAGAGTGTAGAGTGTGGAGTGTGGAGTGCCTGTGCATTAGAGGAGCGGCGACCACATAACTTTGCCAAATGGGCAGATCGTGTTCCCTTTTTTAGCCCCACTCCCCCCCTCTCTCTCTCTGGCCATACGCCCCTCTGTTAGCCATGGTTGTAATTGTGGGAGCCACCCCGAAAATGAGATTTACGTAGATTAGCCAAACAATGCGAAATTACAACATATATATAGTCTTCTCACACGTTGAGAAAAAAAGAGTCACACGCAAGATTAAAGGGCACAAAAATGGAAATTGAAGCCTTGAAAGTGGCATTTTGTATGGTATTACTTAATTTTAATTGCTAAAAATAAAAAAAGAAGTAGTATATATTTAAATATTATATAAAATCTCTTATATCTCTCAGAACCAGAGTAGGTTTTAGAAGTTCTTCTAAAGATACCAAACAAATTACAGATTAGCAAGTTCATATTCCAGGTTATTAGATCAATTTGCATTGTTAGTTTCTTCAAGAAAAATTTCAAAGAAGTATCCATGTTATGTCAAGGCAATGTTCTTACTTTTTAATATTATTTTCCTCAGTGCAGCGGGGGCAATAACAACTAATTTCGGTGTTCAGGCAACTTCTATTCCGAACTTATTCCAAACTCGTTGGCAGTCCGCGAGAGGCTTCAGCTGCCAATCTGTTGGATTGCTCGGATTGGGGACTGAAGACTGCGGAGAATGAGTTAAGGAATCTGCGAGTGCAGTGTTCCCACATTCCCTCCATCCCCAACTCCATCTCCCCCTATGTAATTGCCTGTAATTTAGTGTGTAACTGCAACACACAGCAACAAACGAATCTAAGATGACAACAACCACACGACGAGCAAATTATGTTGTCTTTTTCCACTACTTTTTCTACTTTTTCTTGCCAAAATGGAAACTCCAAATTGGGCGGAGGAGCTTGCAAAGGGGGGAAAGGGTAGAGAGAAGGTTTTAGTTTTAGTTTTTCTTGTAATTTGCATAATGAGATTTTAATTTTTAACGCTCGCATAATAATCTACAACAAAAAAAAACCGAAATGGGATGGGATGATGATGAGTAATCCCCCAAAAGACACTCCCACTGGGCAAGTTTGTTGCCTAAGTCTTTTGTTTTGTGGCCCAAATTAAAGTGTAATTTGGTTAGCCATTAGTTGGTTGGTCAGAGCCGCAACGCGGAGAGTCTCGGAATGGCGGCATTTGATCGCCTCTAATTAAATAGCATTTCCGCTTCTTCGCCGAGGCTGAGGCTTTGCCTAGAAAATGATACGGCGGTAAAAGCAACAACCAACAGCTGCCTGGCAGAAGTAAAAGGTGTGGCCTCCGCCTTGGTTAAAGACAAAGGCAAGGGAAAGGAGGAGAGGAAGAGGACCATCAAATGTAACAGAAGATATGGTCCAAGAGATTTGCAAGAATCAGAAATTAATACGGATTTTTAAAGAGAATTTTTGAAGAAATCTGAATAAAATATAAATAATTATACAATAATTTAAATAGAAAGGAAAAATTAGATTTTTTCGTTTTAAAATCTCCAGCAAGGCTTCCAAAAATATATCTCCCAAATTAGAGAATTGGCTGTGTCTTCTCTCTCTTCTCTGGCACTTCCTTCTACAGTTTCTTCCGCAATTATCTTCGATAATTGCAAATTCCTTTGCTGGACAGCTCTGAGATCCATTGGAAACTCTGGTTTTTGGTCCCAAAAACCCAGCAATGATGAGCAGCTGGCAAGTATTTCGGCTTCTCACTACCAGAGCGAGTGGCGGCAGTTATTTCAAAAGTCCAAAGAGTTTTCGCTCTCTTTTTAAAACCCCTTTTTTTTTCTTTTGATATGAAAACTTGCAACTATTTGTGGCCTTTGTTTTTAAGAATTATTTCTTAGGACATTGTCTAACCATTGACTCCCTGACTCATATTCTTGGATTTCGTTTTTAAAAAATAACCCTTTGGCCAGAGTTGCTTCTTGTTTCACTTTTTTGTTCTCCTTTTTTGTATAAGAAATTCCGATTTTGCGTTTTTTTCGGGGTTTTGGGGTTTTATTGTCTTCACGGCCACAGAGATTGGCTTCAATAACGAGAAGAGCCAGCGAAGAATCGGAGCATCGTGGGTATTCGAATTTCGAATTTAGTTTTTAGGGCCTGCCGCATTTTATGATTATTGAGCCCCCAAATCGCACCAGATACTGGACAGAGAAGATCCCTAGTATATGGATGGTTATCCATCCATCCATCCATCCATCCATCCCTTTCTCAATTCTTTAGATTGAGGAGAGTTGGCTACCTCGTTGGAACCTCAGTTTCGGTTTCTGTTATTTTCATTTTTGCGTGAGCCAATTATGCGTTTTGTATTTCGTATTTCGTTCGTTTTGTGGTTTGTGCCTTGTCGGCAGCAGCAAATCTCTGGCTTTTCTTTCATTGTAATTAAGGAAACGTGACTTTTTGTCAGATTTCATCAAATCTCTTTCGCTGGACCCCGAGAATTGGCGTTGTTATTCCAACTTATTGTTTGGCTTGTCTCTCCTCCGTCTGATGTCCGTCCGTTAATTTGGTACCTCTCTCACGTTGGTTGTACTTTTGATGAGATTGGATTTGATTTGATTTGATTTGCTTTGATTTGCGGAAATCATCTACGGGGCCAGCAGCAGGTAAGCTGAAATTAGCCATTAACTGGCAAGAGTGAGGCCCTTAAGGTCTGCGAGGAAGTGTTGACATTCCAAGTGGAGTGAGTGTGGCTTTTAGGTATTAACTTAAAACTTAAATGAATCACAAAGTTAAGACTTGAAAGGAATGAATCATGGTAATTAGATTTATGTAAAGCTCAATAGAATTCCCAAAATCACAAGTCTAAATCGATTCGTCTGGTAATCGAAAGCTTAAGACTTACGAGAACTTTATAGATATAGTTATTATCTAGTGCCTAGTCAAGGGTATTTAAATCTTCGAATGTTTTCTTTTTCTAAAACACCCTTACTGCCCCTAATTTTCCCTGACTTTTTGTTGTAAACTCTGCACTCTTGAGTTGAAACTCGTGTTGTTGTTAAATTGTTGGGAAGTTTGGAATCCCGGCTACATTTTCAGTCAGTCGGTCGCAGCGTTTTTTTTTTTTCTTGTGTTTCTTCATTGTCGGTTTGTTTTTTCGTTGTTGTTTTTTTTTTCGCTGAGAAAGACAAGAGAGGTCACATTTGATAGTATGAACAAAAATCTTGTCGACGTCTCGAGACGCTCTTGTATCTACGTGTATATATGTATATATATACTCCTATATAGGTGGATGTTGGAGAAGAATGGGTGATAGCCAGACACGGGGAGAGAGCCAAGTGGCGGCGATGATGAAGAGAGGCGAGAAGAGAGAGAGACAAGGCGGCAAACAAAATGCCTTCGTTAAGCGCTAGAAACGGTTTTAGGCCTTGTTGTTGTTATTGGTTTTTTTCAAACTTTTTTTTTTTGTTGTTTCCTATTTTTTTTGGTTGCCTATTTTGTTTTTGTGAGCGGAGAAAAATGTTATAAAAATGTAATTACCCGATGATGAATGGATTAACTACAAAAGAGTGAGAAGCCTGCATTGCTTGGGGTGAGGATGGAAGTGGTACGGAGATTGGAGGGTAACCTTTGGTTAAAAACGGGAACTGCTTGAAATTTCGTTTTCTGGCTCAAAGAATAAAATAATTTACAATTTAAATACACTTTGGAATTTATAGAATATTTTATTTAAATATAATTTACAGAAAAGACTAAATATTTGAGAAATTCTTTATAATTCCCAACTTGTTTTAGCTACAAAATTCAGATATAAGAGAGTGTCTGCTGTATTTCCAAGTAGTAATACCCTCCTCGACTACCAACTGCCCAACAATTTCCATATACCCTTTCGAACTGAAGTGCAACCTCGTGGCATGCACTGCTTCCATCTAAAAAACCAAATCCCCTGCCCCTCACGATTCCCTACGGATGTCGAAGTCGATGTTTGAGGTCCGCTGTCTGATGTCTGGTGTCCGATGTCCGTTGTCCGTTGTCTGATGTCTGATGTCCGACGACTGACTGATCTGACTGGGAGCGGGTAATTGATGCATGAGATTAGTTTTGGGGGCCCAAGTACGTGGAAAATCCATAAGCAACGCTCGTTCGTTGTATGAGGCTCCCAGCGAGGCAGTTGGCGAGACAAACGCTTTAATGACCCCCTCCCGGAAAGTGGGTCACCACCGCCAGAAAAACGGGAGTTGTGGAATAGTGAATAATAGATAAAAGTACCAAGTGTACCGAGCTAATGACTCACCTTGAGTATGCACCTGCCCACGGGCTCGTTCTCGGCCACGGAAACATTGTAGAAACTCTGGTCGAAGATCGGTTCATTGTCGTTTACATCGTGGATGGTCACCAGAACGGTGGCCGTGGATGTAAGCGGCGGGACTCCTCCATCCTTGGCAATCACCGTAAGCTGCGGCACTGGTTCCGTCTCGCAATCGATGTGGGATCGGGTGGTGATCAGCCCTGTCTGTGGATCGATTTGAAACCACTGGGCATGGGTCTCGGGTGTCTCAGCCAGGGAATAGCTGAGAGCCGAGTTCAGGCCCTCATCTCGATCGTGGGCGAGAACCTGAAGAACGGATGTTCCGGGATCGGCCACCTCCATGACATTGGCATGATACAAATCCTGCTCAAACTCTGGTGGATTATCATTGACATCGGTGATTCGCAGGAAGATGGATTTTGAGGCGTGCAAAGGCGGTGTACCCTTGTCGGTGGCCACAACACTCAGGGTATAGTTGGAGACCATCTCCCTGTCCAGGGGAAGATTCACTATGACCAAATAGATGCTGTTATCCCTGGTGGTCAATGCAAAGTGACCATCTCCTCCATTCAGCGAGACATTCACATTGGCATACTCCGTCTTGGAGTCGGGATCATGCACCGATATCCTGGCCACAAACTCGCCCGGCTGCGCCGACTCTGAGATCTTTGGCGAAGCATCGTCGCTCAGGAAAATCACATTTATCGTTGGCTGATTGTCATTGACATCGGTGACCCGTATGGAAACGAAGGCCGTCGTCTCCAGGGGCTGCTCGCCATGATCTTTGGCCACCACGACGAGTTCGTGAAGCTCCTTGGTCTCAAAGTCCAGTGGCTTATTGATGTAGATGGCTCCTGACCGCGGATCAATGCGAAACATTTGCTCCTTGTCGCTTTGCCTCCTATTTATGGCATATTCCACGAGTCCATTTTCATCGGCATCCGTGTCCGAGGCGTAAACCTGAAGGACACTGGTGCCCACAGTGGCATTCTCCGGAACTGTGGCAAAGTATCGACTTTGATTGAAGATCGGTTGATTGTCGTTCACATCCTGGATGGTGATGTTGACGGTCATGAAACCCCTCAACGGTGGACTACCTCCATCCAGGGCTTCGATGAGGAGACTGTAACCCGGCGTAGTTTCCCTGTCCAGGAATCCGCTAATCTGTAAATCCAAATACAAGACGCCGTCCCGTTCACGGTGCGAGGACAGCCTGAAGGCGTCATTTACATTCCCCGACACAATATTGTATTTCTGGGTGTTGTAGGGTTCCAGGTCAAGATCCCTGGCCGGGAGCAGAGTCCTCTTCACCTCCCTGGGTGTATTCTCGGGGAACTCTATGTGCATCGAGGACTGCAGGAACGTGGGAGCATTGTCGTTCTCATCCTTGACCGTGACCACCACTCGGATATTCTGACCACTCAGGGGAATGGCCACCAGGCTGTAGGAAGCCCTCGTTTCCCGGTCCAGTTTGACCTTGGTGCGTATCTCCCCCGTGGACTGATCTATGGCCAGATCCGTCTCCACTCCCGTCTCGGCCACAATGATGTACGGCGGCCCGCTGTCAATGCCATCGAAATCGCCTATATAGCCGATCTGGTGATCCACAGGCACGCCCTCGGACACCTCCAGCCTCCTCTCCCGCTCCTTATCATTGGAGGCGGCTTGAGAGGATCCCAGGAGCAGGACCAAGACCAGAAGACAGTATGGTAGGCAGCTTCTCAGCATGTGCGAGGGATGCAGGGCGGGTGGCGAAGATTTTGATTTAATGTCAATGCCCGAACGTCTCCGGCATCGATGGAACATTGTGAAGTCCTTGGTGTTGCTATGGTGGTCACCCGCTTCTGTTCTCGTTGTTTCTCTGGCGGCTGCTTTCATGGTTGTGTTGGTGGTGGATCCACTGTGGGGTGGATCTTTGGTTAGGAAACTCTTTAGAAGCTAAGAGCACCGTTGACAGCGGTTGCCTTCTTGCAGCAGGGCCATGGCAAAGCTGAAAGGGGAATAGAGATATTTATTAATATATCATTAAGAAGTAATGCATGAATATTACAATATGAATTACAAGTAAGGTTTCTAATTAAAATAAATATATAAAAACCTGGTTAATAATAACTTCTTGAACTATTCTCATCCACTTTCAAATCCATTTTTAAACCAATATGTTAGACCTTTCAACACCTTTCCCAAAAACATTTCCCTCTAATTTTATGCCAGTGTAATATTGACAAATGTGCTGAACATAATCACCGCCCACAGCCTAGGAGCTTTAGAAAAACTAGAGAAAAGCCCAAGAGAACTCCCAGAGAGACAGAGAAGAACCAGCCATACTTGGCGGCTAATAGACTGATAACTGCCCCAATGCGCTTAGCGCTACGCGATGATGATGCGACTGAGGATGAGGATGCCGATGCCGGAATGGTTGGAGGCTTACGCATGGTGGAGGCATTTCCATTTGGCCATTTGGGGGAATTTGAAATGCTAATAGACGGGGCCAGAAAAGATCAGGAATGAAGACAAAAGAGACCCAAGATGCGAGACGCGCAGCCATGTCGGGGTTCTACCTGCGTGCGAAAGGTTCAAAGGCTAAAAGGGTCTTGCGTTTGCTGCTATACTGGTTTTTTGGGATGAAATATGGCTGGCACACACACACACACACACACACATTCTAAGGGGAGAAATCGAAGAGATCCGTGGCTTCGTGGACTCAGAACTAATGCCATGTGGCTGCTGGCTGTAGAATTGGAATTGAAATGGGAATGGGTTCGGACTCGAACTCGGACTCGAAGCAATTCGTGGCCAACAATTTAGTTAACAAGACCATGACTAACACTTTTTTTTTGTGTATTATTGTTGAGTGGCCGAAAAAAAACATTTGTGTTTTCACTGCAATTCTCGGACGAGATAGATTTTTCTCGCGCGATAAGCGAAAATATGAAATAAAAGAAGGCAAAGAGGAGTCGGGGGAGGTTATATAAAAATTATGATTATTATTTTGGGAATGCCTTAGAAATTTCTGTGGCTTCGTGATCAGATAAAGATCAACTCAGGTCTTGGGAACTCGGCCCAGGTGATCCTGCAATTAAAACCGAATTAATGAGACTTTGTGGGGAGTTTGAAGAGTGACGGATTGGAGCCTGATCTTGAGAAAGAGAAATTTCTGCGGAGAAATTAGCAAAACGGGAGACAGCATCTGCCTTTCATGTCCATCGTGAGATGCCGCCTGCTGCCATTAGGCCGCCTAATAACTTTATAATGATCATGTCCCTTCCTGGAAGAGAAGCCATGACATGGGGCGTAATTTAATAAACTGCAACGGAGCTTTTCCTGAACTCTGTGATACGCAAATTACCCAGCCAGAAGGAGCCGGGGAGGAGCATACACACTCACAGATGTGGAGCTGCCGTTGCGGAAACGTCAGTTTGATTTGCACTTGTCATAAGTTTAGATGAACTGCTAATACCCAAACACATTAGAAAGCCCGTTCCCAACTGGCATCTTCATACCCATACCGATCCCGATCCCTGGCGCCTCAGTGCTGGACAGCTCCCGTCCAGCAGATCGGACGAGCAGTCCGCTTTGAGTGCCAGCTGGCGGTCGCGCTCGCCTTGCGTGTGGCTGCACCTGAAGATTGGAACCGATGGACACACGCGGGATCAGGGATGAGCCAGGGAGCTCTAACACAGCAAGAAAAGGGAGTTTAAGAAGCTTTAAATTATATTTAATTTTATATGAAGGGTTTTTTGTAGAAAAAATTATAAGATTAAGGGAAATAATACAGCATTTCGAAACAAATAATCGGAAAAATCTGATAAACTTCTATTAATATTGTAAATAAATTAAAATAAATCGAAGAAATACAATGTATAAACCTTCAACTCCTTTATTTCTTGCCGTGTAATCATCAGAGTGCCCCCCAAAAGGCGTATCATCTTGGGGTTCTGTGCACTCTGCCGGCATCTAATATCGAATGACAAAGTTGTAATTATATTTGTGGTTCCAGTTCGCTTGCCAGAGAGTTCCTGGGAGTTACTAACCATTTCAAGTTGCCATCGCAAAGCCATTCCAGGCTTTTTGGCCATTAAAAATTATGCTTTTTCCCGGGAGAATTTCGTTTGTTTTTACGAGCGCACAAAAGATCGTAAAAACTGTACCAACAAAAAACCAAAACAGGAAAAAATGAAAAATCAGAAACAAAAAAAAGCAGAAAAAAAAACAGAGCGGCATCAATAAAATCTAGTTAATAGCAAATAAAGCCAGCAACAAATACCCATAACCCCGCAGAGCAGCGGCCGTATAAAACGTACACTATCATAACAATAACAGCGTTAACTTTACAGCGCAACTAATTAGGCTAGCGAATGTTAAAAAAAGGGAAATAAAAAAATACGGGAATATGAGAATACCGTAAAAAAAAGGATGAAAAAAAAGTAAAGGAGAGAGGAACAGGATACAATATCTTACAAAGCCAGCCAAGATCACTATTATTCGCAAATTATGCCTGATGTTGAGCTACTGTTTGTATGTACAAATAAATCTTTACACTAAAATTAGACAGTATTTTTTATGGGGGAATATATATGTTTGCCAATTTTCTGAGAAGTAAAAACAAGCCTCAGAGCGAGTGTAAAATAAGAAAGTAAAATAGAAGCCTAAAAAAGTGAATAAAAGTATTTAAAAAAGAAAAATAATTGGAAAATAAAATGGTTTCTTCATTTAAAATTTTAGTTAACAAGCCTCTCTAGTCTTTACCGTGGACAAATTGAAGAATTTAGTCACCAAATTTTATGATTTAAAATATAAAATAATAAGATGCATAACGAGATGCATGGCTGAAAAGCCAATAGTCCCAGTTTCCTCACCAATTTTCTAGGTAAAAAATATTCCTTGATGCTAAAACCATAAAATCAAATAAATAAACCAAACTGGGGCAGTGGAGCTTCCCAGGGGTCTCTAGAGAATAGACCAAGTCGTCAGCCGGAAGAAGTGTTTTGCCAACGCTTAATCACTGACCAAACACAAAACTACAAGCTCTCAAAGAGAGCACCCATTAACATGCACATTAACACATGTAGCTCAGAGATTTTCTACTCAAACAATTACAAGTCGAAGAAGAAAATCAAGTTGTTTGGGTCGCCCCGTTGCCCCGTAGCTGCTCGTGATTTAACTACAAATTATGCAAAAATTGTTGTCTAAAACCAGAGGCTAAGTAGGTGGTAAGTAGACGCTTTAGAGCGTGTTTAATTAAATGTTGAGTAATTTATGAAAACTGGTGGGGAGTCTACCAGCTAATAAGTTACTTCTAATGACTTTCTAATTGTCCAGACAAGGCGAAACTTTAATTGTTTGCATATTAATCGAACTCATTTAGATGCAAATCCGACAAGAGATCCGACAGGAGATCCGCTGCCAGCCAGCCAAGCATGCGGAGCTGCGAAAGCGTGAAGCAACAGCACGATACCTGCTCGTTTTTCTGCTAGGAAAAGTGCGAAAATGCAAGTGAAACCGGGGGTATTTTCGTTTTCATTTCATTATTTTTTTGTGTTTGGTTTCCATTTCGAATTTACTTCATGTTTTCAGTGGGTTTATTTTCACTTTTTAACAAGGCCTTTGCTTGGCCAGTGGTCGTTGGCACTTGACAGAGCCGCGCCGGTGGAGCATCCTCGATTCTGGTCGTGGGGAATGGCGCATAATGAGCGCTAATTAGTGGCAAGTGACAGAGATGAGATGATGTGTTGTATGTTTAGTTTCATATCTTATCGCTGCCTCGACAGCGGCTAAGACATCCAGCAGATGTCGGCGAGGTGTCGTCGAGTTGCAAATATGAAAAAATACGCTCACGTTTGGGATTGTTACAAAAAAATTAAGAACAGAACCAGGAAATGTGAGAGAAAAATAAAAGAAATAAAGAAATTATTTTTTTAAAATATTCAAAAATTCTTCCTTTAATTATTTTCATCTTCAAGGCAAAGTTCTCTTTAAGATTCCAACTTTAAATATATTTTTAGCTTATCTGCCACACCGGAAGCCTAGTCTCACCACTTAGAATCCCAATCGAGACCCTGACGCGTTTTGTTTGGGTAGCAAAAAGCATTTAGCTATAATTGTCATCGTCAAATGTGTGTTTTTGGCCATTGTTTGGCGCTTTTTTATGGCCGCCATTAAGGCGTAAAGCCAAGAAAAGCAGCTTCTAAAGATCAGCTTGTGGCTCTCCCCAAGCTAATCCCCCTTCTTAGCAGGGGGAGCGGTTCATTAACCCATGACAGCACCCGCCCCTTGTCATAAAACACACACACAGAAATGTTATATATATTTCTCAATCAGCATCCGATTTTGATGATCAGGCAAAAATGTAGAACGTTCCGTTTGCTGCTTATCTTGAGACGTACTAACGAATGCGAGCCAATAAAACAAATCGAATTATATTAGCCAACGTGTTTATGGCTCAGAAAGAAAGAAGATCGAAGAACCTAGAGGCTAAAAATGTAGCAGTGATTCTCTGGATTATATAGTATTAGATATACAGGAAATGTTTTTTTTATGATTTCAGAATTTAAGGATTTATTGGTATTTTTAGATAATTTTTAGGTAATTATAAACAAATTTATTTCAAGAATTTAGGAAACATAATTCTGTAATATATATTTATATTACATAATTTTTAAGTATTTTTAAACTAATTAATTTTATAATATTTATTTCGGCATTAAAATACTTAAATTTGAAGTTATTTTAATAAAATTTTGGTAAAGAATTGAAGTATTATTTTAAGCTTTGATTGATTTTAAAACCTTATCATGCCGATTATCATCTTCATAAATTATAGTTTTTAACTTTGTAGCCTTAGAAATAGCTTTTTATTAATATGTTATGGCAATTAAAAATTAATATATTTAATAGAGCAATATTTCTCTACAATTTGAAAATCCTAGAAACTTGTCATAGTCTGTTAAACTAGAGTATATAGAATTAATTATATCATTTTTGATTCTGATTAATGTATTTCTGGCAGGCTTTCTGATTCCGTTTCTATTGATTGATCTGATTGATGACATTCCGAATTTAATCTCGTCTTAATGACACGCTTACCCGTGCAATATCATCAAGAGCCCGGCACATGTGGGCCATAAAATCAAATCTTTCTTTTATCTTCCTCTAAATCAGAATTGGAATCTGATTCTGATGCTCGAATTAAGTTTGTTTATTGTTTAACAAATATTTATGCCCAGCTGGCACGAATCTCTGGGATCCCGTGTAAGTCACAACCAGTTCCATTCGCAAGAAGTGTCTTCATCTGGCGATGAACATATTCGCCGACTAATCACAGGCCCAGTCACATTCGAGAAAGATAGAGAGCGAGGGGAGACTCTTCAACAAAGAAATTAGCGCGACTTGCTAGGCAATCCTCCATCAGCCGCTTGGAGGAGCGGGTGTTTTACGGCAGGTGCGTGACTTTGTACACCACTCTCCCCCTCCTCCTCCTGTCTAATGTAATTTTCCCGGCCGGCCGGCTGGCTGGCTGGCTGGATGGCTGTGTGTGTGGTCCGCTCGCTCTGATGGCTTTTCCTCAGCGAAAAATAGATTAAAGCGTAATCTTTGTTTGCACAGCGAACAGAACAGAGCGCAGAGCAATTAGTGGAGGAAATGGGGAGCAAAAAGGGGAGAAAGCCCACTGGACTTGGACTTGGAGCAATTTAAAGCGCATTAAACTGCGTTTTGCAAGTTTGTGTCCTGAGTCTTTCGTTTGCACTGACGCCGCCCGCATGGAACACCTGCCGCCGCCGAGATAAAAGAGCCAACACACGCACACAAACACACACACTCTTTCCCCGTTAGGTCTGAGATAAAGCAAATATTCAGAAGAGAGAAGAAAATGGGAAATGAAAATTATATTCCATTTCTTTTCCCTGTTCTCGGCTCAACTTTGAACTCCGGAGCCAGAGATCTTTTGTTCGCATACCAAACTCAAACCCGAGACCATGTTAGAAGGAAGTGTAAATTAAGGGCCATAAAAACTGGCCCTAATGTCGGAGACTATATTTGGCTTTTAGCAGCATGAAAATTGAATAGGAACGAAGACAACTAGGGGAATGGAGTTGGAGTTTGGAGTTTCGTAATAATTTAACAACAACGCACAGAAAATTTAATTGGAATGGCATTAAAAACCCGGAGCACGCCCCTACAAACTTCCTTCTACCTAAAATTGTCAATTATAAAATAGTTTAATGTGGCTACACAGAGGGAAATGGAGGAGTTAATAGAATATAGAGAGAATATAGTTTATATAAGTTTTTAAGAAGATTTCTTTAGTTTATTTATAGAAATTAAAATCGTTTTAACAGAAGGAAAAAAAGAGATTCGCAAAGAATATAAATTTTTCTTGAAATACAGATCAAGTTATTCCATTTATAATATTTTAACAATTATTTTAGACATTATAAGGGATTAGTTTTCTATCAAGGACATGTTATACAATCTTAAGACGTCCTAATTTATTTTATTTCTTTGATTTTTAATATATTAAATTTTTTTGAAATATTTAAAAGAATTCATCCAATATTTCTTTACAAAAATAAGGAAACCATCAAAGAATATAATTCATCCTAGAGTTATCTGCCTTAAAAACCACATTCCTTGAATTTATTTATCCTATTTATTATCCCCTAATAGGACATTTTCAGTTAAAGACTTATCCCTTCCTATTGACTTCCTACTATAAATATTTCCGTGTGTATTTATTTAGTATTGTCAGCGTTGCCTGCTCTTTTTTTGTGTGGAGTTTTTATTTTCCAGGAATCACAGCTGGGCGACACTTTGCGCATTTCCATTCCCTTCACGTGTCGCTCTCCGCCCTATCGACAGAGATTAGAGATCGATCGAACCTCAATCGTCGTCGTCGTCGTCGTCGCTGGCGACGTGTAAAACAGGTAGAAGAAAAATCCGAATCCCAATGCCATTCTCAATCCCAGGCACAGCCACAGCCACACACAACACCAACGCCGACGAGCAGAACACCGACTCGAACACCGACTCTATTTGTTTTTCCACATTTTCCCCGAGAGCAGAACACAAAAAAATAAAGAGCAAGGTGAAGATGAAAAAGAAGAGGAAAACTCGGCCCGGGAAATGGAATAACAAAGTGGAAGGCCGAGAATGATATAGAGAGAGAGAGAGGCGGCAGAGCAAAAGATAAAGCAGCGCCCAAGAGGAGAGCCTGAGGAGTGTGTGTTTTCCACTGCATCCACCTCCTCTCCTCCCCCTTCTCTCCAGTTCCTGCCTTCGCTTTCGATTACCAATTTGACTATTTTCAAGTTGTTTTCGCTCCTGTTTCTCCTCAGAATAAAAAAAAAAGAAAAAATAGTAAAAGAAAAACATCTAATTAGGCCCGGGTCTAAGGGGCCGCGCCTTTCGAAATTCGAAATGTTTACTTTGGACTTTTTTTCGGGGACTTTGTGAAGGGCTTTACTCGTTTTACTCTTTATATTTTCACAAGCTAGTAGGGTTGTGTGTTTTTTTAAGTAGTTTGCTTGAGCAGCGGTGTTCTAAGCAAAATTTCAAGATTTTTTTGGGCTTTGCTTACATGGTTTTTTGCTGGTTTGCCGAAATTTTAAGGTTTTATTAATAAATTTGTTTATTTTTATATTTTTGTATTTTTGTGAGTATTTTCCCTGAGTTTTTTTTTGCAGGCTTTAAGTTATAACTTTGAATTTGTACTCTTAGTGAGTTTATTTGTAGATATTCTCTGTATTTTACATGCTTACTAAATTTGTTTCTTGTTTTTAACTATTTTTCATTTTTTTTAAATTTTATTTAAATAGTTCTTTAGTAAAATATAAAACTACGTTGTTTAGGAGCTGACACTCCATTTTTGTACTAATAACTATGTCTCAGTAATTCTTGTAGCATGGCTTAATTTTATTATATTATAATTTAAACTCAACTCTCAATACCTTGAAAATTGGCTCTGTATATTACTTGTTTATTTATTTTAAAATCATATGAATAAAAATACCAAATTTTTGATATTTCCTTCTTAATTTTTTTCTACACAATTGCTAAGGCTATATCTTATTCACAGGATTTTTTATTAACTAATAAATAGGCTTATATATTTTTTGAATTATGTTTTATTATTTTAAATTAAGATTTTTGGTCTTAAACTCCTATTACTTTGCAACACAAGCCTTGTTCTTAGTTTTCCTTGTACCTGAAGACCTTGTCTAGCTTTTATATTTATTTTTTACGTTTTTTAAGCTCAATTGTTATAGCTGTATTTGATTTTCTGCCGCTATAAAGTGGCTTAAACCCTTCAAGCTCCTCATAATTTCTCTCTTACAATTATGACCATTTAGGTGACAGTATTGTCCCCGTTAAATGTTGGCTTATATATATATTTTTTTTTTTGGGTGGTACTTTTTCATCTTTTTCTCTTACATTTTGTGGCCGCTTCTGCTGCTGCTGCTGTTGCTTTTTTAGCTGCTAAAATGCTGCGAAGCTGCGGCTGCTGCTGCTGCCAATATTTTTCACCAAAGGCGGCAACAACAACAACAACAAGAAGGCGCAAAACCCGCTGCCACAACACACAATATTGTTGTTGTTGTTGTTGGTAGTATCTCCGCCACACGGCCGAAGCGAGCCAAAAAGAACTCGTTTGACTTGTTGAACAATATTTCTTTTTCTTTTTTTTTTTTTGCCTTTTACTCGGTTGTATTTCCAGTGCTCTTGCTCGGCTGCTGCTTGTTTCTTTGCTCGCTTATTGGATTTTCTTTGGAAAACACTTGATAATTATTTGTGAAAATGCGAATTTAATTCTTTCTTGAGATGCACAAACAAAACTTTGGCCAGATTTAAGCCCGGCCAACTTTTCACACGAAAACACGCGGCGAAAGACGCGAAAAAGTAGGCAGCGGCAACGACGACCAAAACGGCGACGAAAACAAAATAAAAACGCGGCGAAGAATCGATAACTCGGCGGATTTTGGGGGGCTATATCGTATCGTATTGAATATTTCCTTGGAGATTTCCTTATTTTGTCTGCACTTCACTGGGGTTTTTCACTCTCCACTCCAATACTCTCTTTCTCTTTCTTCTTTTCTCGTATTTATTGATTATTGGAAATATATATAGCCAGATTTTTGTATTCAAACTCCAAAATTCCGACGGCGACACGAGGAGAACGCGACTGAGAAACGAATTTTCTCCGCTCGCTGCGATTCTCCAATGTGGCTGCGACGAAAACACACGACAGACTGAAGCCTGAAGACCGGAGACCGGAGACTGGAACTCTCAAGGCGCTCTCTTGGTGCAAAGTTGCAAGGTAAAAGAAAAAAAGATACCACAGGAACCCACCTCGAAACCCACCTGTGGTCAAGAGATTGCTGTAATGAAGATGGCGAGCCACACGAGAAGAATCGCTTAGAGAGGTGAATAGCGGTGGCTATTCTTCTCCCCAGAGTGGTTTGGTCGGTTCCAGAGAGAGCGCGAGAGAGTCGCGGGAGAGAGACGCCAAGAATTTTAAAAGGTGCACACACAATACACAAAATAAAATCGACGACAGGTCCACAATTAGCCCCAAAGAAGAGAGTGGAGAGCGCGGAAGAATCTCTCCGCCGGAGAGAGAGCCTCTTAACTACCCATTGTTTTTGCAGCCCAGCCAGGTCCCCAGGTGAGTGTGGCATGTAAATTAGCTGCTGCCGATCTCTCTCCGCTCTCTCCTGCTCTCGCTCTCTCACCTGAGCATAAACCGGTTTCAAGTCATGCTCACCTGTGAGCCAAGTTGTTGTTGTTGTTGCTGCCGAGTGCAGTTGAAGTGGGCTCTACAGTGTGGAGTGTGCAGTGGAGACCCCGTGTAAAGGAGAGAAGCGAGTGGTGTGGAGTGTGGAGAGTGCGGCGTTGAGTGTTTGGTATGCAGGCCCCCCTGCCCCTACCCCCCTTTTTTGTTTGCTGCCCCTGCCACTGCTCCTGGTTCTTCCCATTGTTTTTTTCGGGGAGCCTCGAATTAGGCAGGAGCAACAAAGTTGCGTCAACAACAAAACACAGACAATGCAAATGTTGCGTAAGTTTTGCATTAACCAAAAAATATACTTTAACAAAAAAAATAAAAAAAATACTTGTAAATGAAAAGCGTTGGAAAAACTGAGCTATTGAGATCGCCGAAATCGATAAAGGCAATTTTCGGTCGAACAAAGACAGTGGAAATTAGTATATGCTTAAGAGTTGCGTGAATAGTTTGGGTATTAGCTGCACCTTTCTGTGGAGACTCTAAAGAAAAACAAAATATATAAAAAAGATATGGTTTAAAAAAACTTATAAAAAATATATATAAAATAATTGATAAATAATTAAAAAAAAAAAAAAACTACATAGGAGAACCTTGAGGGCCTATCTTTCCAACCATTTATCTTTGAAACTATATTTTAAAAGGATTTAGATTTCTTTATTTGTAGATAAAAGCATATTATACTAATTAGATTTTTTAATTTTTATATAATATTTTAATATATAATAATTAAGTAGACTATTCAAATTAGCTTTAATAATATTATTTTTTATTGCTTTTGCAAAAACAAGGTATCTTTATATATCTTATTTTTTAAAATTTCCAAGTAATTCCCATCTAGATATTCATACAGCCTACAGCACTCTAAGAAATCTCTCTTAATTAATTAATAACCGTATTTTAGTTTAACGAGCACTAATAATAATTTAGCTTCCATTCAATGAATTTTTGTTGGTAAAAAAACTATGCTTGTTTTTTCATTCCTTTGACTGTTGCTTGACTTTTACAAACTTTTTTTATCGCAACTACTTGCCTATCGAATTTGGCAATTGCATTTGGAGATTCAAAAGTACTAAATACTTTTACTATTTCCTTTTTTTTTACCCACAAACCATTTCGAATTTCGGCGCCTCAAGTAAAAGTTGCTACGGCAGCAGCAACAGTGAATTCCGACCGACTAGGTCTCGGGGTGGGACCACCGTAGCGAGTGAAAGAGATCCCATGGAGCAGATTCCGATTCCGTTCCCAATTCCGCAGAACTCTCGAGCATTCGCAAATTCTGCAATTTGTCTGGGAAGCGTACACGAAAAGTGCGTGCCACATATCCCAAGATGTTGCCAAGTTGCTGCAACTGAGAATGTGCCGCCGCTCTGTGGACAAGTGGAATATATCGCACTGGAGCGGCGTTGGCTGACAATGGACAATGGTTAACCATTTGGTCATTCGCCGCTTGTCAAAACCGTAAATGACGTCGCTTAGCTGTCGGCTTGCATTTGCCACTTTTCCAAATGAAATGAGTTAACAGCCCCGAGAGTCTTTGCAATGAGAGCAACAACAATCTTGACAGCCACTTGAAAGGCAAAGAGAGCAAAGAGTAATCATGTTTAGAGTATACAGGGAGAAATATATCTGGCCTGAAATTTAACAAGACTAATACTCTCCTCTCCATTACTTTTAAATGTTTATTTTCTTGTGAATTTATAAATTTTTTTTATAAAATTGTTCATCTAATCAAATATATTTTTTTCCGGTGCATTGACAAACCAAGATCAGAGATCTCGCCCAGAGAGCGGTTAGAGGTGGTGGTCACTGCCGCCACCCACATGCAGACGCAGATCAGAGGCGTACTTTTGTGGGTAAGGGGGGGATGGAGGGTGTAATGGAAGCTCTAGAGCTTAGAGATCGAAGTGGAATCCGAGGGGGGGTGGGGACAAATCCCACTGCTCGCCCGCCCGCTGCTTTGCAAATCAGTTAATGGACAGCGGACACAATTCAAGCTCTCAGCTCTCAAAGAGATCCAAGTGATGGATTTATGGATAGAGCTCGATGGATGGATGGATGGATCGCGGGAGATGGCCATAGAAATTTGGCACCGCAGAAAGAGAGTACTGAAGAGCTTGGCTATCGGATTAGCTCAGATCTGGTGATCGGATCAGATCGATCAGCTTTCGCATCTCCCAGCTGCTTCCTGCTTTGTCGACATTTCGGGGACCCAGAACCCGACGTTCGTTCGTTCGACAGTTCAACATTTCAGCTTTCAACAATCCGTAGAGATCGTCGATCGACATACAACGGAGAGCTTGTTGCTAAAGCCCACACACAAAAACGACAAAACGAAGCGAATCGGAATCCATCATGCGAGTAATATGCAAAGTTACATACATCCTATATATCCAGGGGATGGGAGGATGAGGATGAGGATGCCGGACTGGGCTGGGCTGGGCTTTGCTTGGGCCATTCATTCGCCTTTAAAATCAATAGCAACATGGCAACATTGTCGTCGTTGTTGCTGTTGTTGCCGCTCCTGCAGCATCCTTGGAATCGTCATCATCAACAACTGCAAACAACATTCGCCTGTCAGCGGCAACATCATAAATTGTTGTTTAGCCACATGTTGCTCTGCGACTGCGAATGAGAACTGAGACTCTGGCTTTTGGGTTTTATTTTTTTTAGATTTCTGCAGGCTCCCCAAGCTCAGCAGTCTCCTGCCAGGCTCTCTCTCCTTCCTTTTGGCCGCTCCTTAGGCGCGGTTCTTGTTCTGGTTTACCCTTTCTGGAACGGTTATTATAGGCTTGTGATTAAAATAAATAAGTAACTAAAGAGTTGGATGGGTAAAAATAACTTTAAATATTGTAAGAAAATGTTTTTATATAATTTTTACCATTTTGTGTTGGGAAAGTATATTAGAAATATTGCTTTTATAGCTTATAAATAAATAAACCTTTGTTTACAAATCAAAAAATGTTCTTAAAAATTAGAAATATAAAAATTTTGATGAAATTTTATACACAAATATAAAAGTAGACTTTTTAGCATTTAAATTATATTTTAAATATTAAACTAGACTACATTTTAGCATTTAAACTCGAAAATACCCAATATGAACACAGAGTAGACTACTTTTTAGCTTATTTTTCCAGACAAGCTCCAAAAAAATATATTGCAAATTAGCGAACCCATATAACTTTTTTCAAAAGCCGATTAAATCTTAAATTTGCCAAAAATTTCCATAGTTTTAGGTCATTAAAAAGGCATTTTAAGTATTAATAAAATATGGTCATTAAATTGTTTATGTGTTTATTTTAAAATGTAAATCCAAAAAGTAAATAAACTAAAAGCTTTTGCCAGCTCAAAACATCTTTATTATTAGGATTCTGTTTCAAGATCTACAAATTTAATATTATTTCTTAATTTTAGAGCATTTAAAGTTTCTTTTGGTCGCTTTTTCTCTCTGCTTGTTGATTTCCTGTGTCTGATAGTAAGTTTTATTTATTTAAGCATTTGCCTGCGACTCTCTCCTCCAGCTCCTGTTTTGTCCTCAAGCATCTATCTAATCCTTTGTTATGGCCATGCAAATAATGATCGCCAGGAATTCCTGCTCTGATCTTGGCCTGTCAGCGGCTCATCATCGAATCATAATTCGAATGCAGAATAACATTTTTTCGCTCAGCTCTTGTGGGTATGCTGCGGGGGGT